TCGAAGAGCCTGTCCGTTTATGCGTATGCTTTGTGGGCTTAAGCACAATGGGGTGTCTAGTACAGCCAGGTACAGGTGTGCTATTGAAGGCACCTGTTATTAGTAAGGATGCAGATCTTTGAATTTTGTCAATGCAGCGGAAATAAGATGACTTATTCAAGGAGTGCCACCAGACTAGAGCTCCAATGAGATAGGGCAGGGCGAACAATTGACGCATACACCCATTTAATTAAGTGTGGTTTGTGGCCCCAACTTTTAACTATAGAGTTCTTACAAGAATAGAGTGCAATTAAGCATCTCCTTGCACGTCCCTCAGAGTTACTCTTCCAATTTAGTTAGCGGTCGAGGATGGTGCCGAGGTACCTGGCTTTAGAGGAGAGGTTAAGTCAAGTGTTACATTGTTGATGGCTCCCTCAATATCGAGAAATGCTGCCAAAGTGAACAATGAGTCATTCATGTTTTTCTCAATGTATCCGAAGATGACGTACTACACTGTTTTAACGGATTTACTTTTCATATAGGCCTGTTGAGCAGTGCTGATGGCAGTCGGGGTAGTAAAGATCTGATTTATATGTCGATCAACCAGTATTCAATAAAAACGATGAGAGACTAATTGGTCTGTAGTCCTTAGTGAGCGAATGACATGGTTTCCCTGTTTTTGCGATGTTAGTATCGGTGACTTCCCTCCGCAGTACCAGGATGTGGGAAAGGCACAGACTAGCTTTGAAAACTTTGAAAACTGTAACATGGCGGGAATGATGGTATTCTGGTCCGGGTGCTTTAAGATCGAACGTGTCGATCGCGCACCTAATTTTGGAGATGCTTGCAATTCTGTCAATCAAACCGCTTTATACTTCCTATGGATTTCGGATGCTTCGAAAGAGCTTTACGGAATATGGCAGTGTCATTGACGCCTTCTATTAACTCAGTGATGCATGTACGCCTGACCTGCTTGATTTCACTGTTGTACTTGTTGAAGAATGCTTTATAGGCATCCCATTCTGTACATTGTTTGGTCTTGTTGGCACTATTGTATGAACGCCTACTATCCCTCTTTAAATTGGCATTTCTTGCCTGGACGAGTAAGCGGACAGATTTTTCATAGCACTCAAGCAAGGTGCTCGTTATCGCATTTACGGAATTTTCTATATCAAGGGTTGAGGTTAGGACTAAATTATCGGGCCGCTCATACGGCAGGTAGAGAGATATGAAGATGAGGACCATAAACTAAAATTACTAAGGAGGACTAATTTTAAACTCTTTTTAGCAGCAATGGACGTCCTTACCTAATCACCATTGGTGGCTACATAAGAGTCGTACTGCCCACTCCCTAGCCGGTCACCTTATTGTTGTATATATGGTTTCGGAAACAGCGCTATGTTGACTTCAGCTTCCGAGAGGAATAGATGGAGGTCAGTAACAGTAGATTTTTTAATGATCAGGCACCCCCTCATTTTTTAGGGTCCCCTTCTCCCACAAAGACCATTTTCCTCAGACGATCTTAGATTAGTAGCCATCAACTCTCTCTGATTTTACCTTCCAGTTCAGCCTTGTCGATGATGAGGTAGATGGTCTGGGAATGCTTCATCTGCTGACTCTTCCCTTTCTCTTCATTAATTTGAAGAAATCCGTCACGTTATTTCTATGAATGGGTAAAGATGCCAAAATGAGAGTTTTGATGTTTCGAAGCTCGTTCAGCAATCTTTGTGGGGTTAGTAGCATTAGACTTATACGATCATGATGAGCATCCGTTAAAATATCGATGATGTTATCCTCTAAATATTTCAACCTTGATGAAAGTAGCATGAGCTGCGATGTGAGGAGTATAATTAATTTAATTTTCCTTTTTCTTCACTTTATTTCATTAATTTCTACTTGCATGTTGGCGAAGGTTCTTTGACTCATATCTTCATTCTTTCTGATTATGTTGATTGTTGCATCAATAATAGACGAAAGTATAACCCAACTTTTATTGCCAACAGCACAACTCCTGAAAGGTTCCTATCCCGGTAGAAAAATCTATAATAAATTTCTTTTAAACTCGTGTTTGTTGAACGACTGACACGAACATAGAGGTAGGAATAATAAAGCCACAAGCTGTATCGATATTACCTTACTGCTTTTTACACGGGCTAAAGTTTTTCAAAAGACCTTATGTTCTCCACATGATATGGAATTGTTTGAAATTCGGGTTGTATTTTTTTCGAAGTCTAAATACTCCTTCCTGTAGTAATGTATTAAGCTGTTACTGCGTCTAAGTTGTCATTGCTAAACTGTCAGACCGCACATGCAATCGTCAACGAAATAATTCTTTCGAAGTACCAGCACCCTCAACCATTTTTTTGTTTGTTTGCTTCTGCTAGCCTTTTCAGACATCTTGTAGCAAGATATGGGGTGCATGTCGTACCAGATGTTAACTTATACAACGTGTAATGACATTTACGATCCCTTTTGCCGACTATCACTCATCTATACATCTTCTCAATGTGAGTTGTGAAGATAAATCTCGGTAGTATGAACCGCAACAACTTTCCAAACAGATGTTCTTGAACCATCGGACCTGAATGCAAAATATCATTGAGTGACCACCCGGTGACCAAGATGCTGATTTTTGGGCGTAGGACACAATGATGTGGAATGTAGTAAAGGTTAATACGCACCGCTCTTAATTGTATTTTTGTCATGTGTTCCAGATCCTTAAATACCTTCATAAATTTAGCATACTGCTTGGGAAAGCTTGCTTTCTTAGATAAGCGACGTTCCAACGCAAAGAATCTGGAGGCTGTAATATTTAAGGAATCAGATATCTACTCAGTACCATCTGAAAACGGTAATCGCACCTCAAACGGCCATTCTCATTGATTGTTGTATTTTGGTTGAAGTGATTTGCATACTGTCCTTCAGCTATTGTCAACTTCTAATCACCAGAACTTTTTTACTAAGCCTTCCATAGTTTCTGATTCTCCCCGAATTCTTTCACTAGCAATCCACCCTAGCTTCGAGCTCTTCAATATAGGAAGCTCCTTGGACATTCGAATTTCTTGTGATAGAATCAGATTGAAGTAGATCACTGCTCCAAGTAGTACGACAATCCTGGTTGCTTAACAAAATTGGGGATCTGCTTGTTTTCTTGAATTGGCCATAATGTAATGTCGTTGTCAGCGCTTGGTTAGGGTGGCACTATATTTAGTAACACAAAATCTTCTAGGCGTATTCTAAATTTGCTAGTAAGTGACTGAATTTCCACGTTGACACTGTCCTTCGATACAGAAGGATGCTTGAATGAGTTCGATACCCAACCTCTGCACAAGTCGTTCTGACAACAAATTAATCTGTGAGCCGGAATCCCGAATCGCTTAAAACTCATATCTTCTTTCATTTTTGGCCTTGATAGTAACCCGTGCAGTTGCAAGGACTACGTATATTCGCCGATGCCACTGCTGTCGGTTTCTGATCTGACACGACTGCTGAATGGTTGTCTGCTTGTAGCCTTGTGGGAAAAATGAAAAAGTTTTTTGTGCTTTTATTGACACTTCCAGCACGTCCCATCTGTACACATTTTTACCTGATGATAATCCTTAAAGAAATTCAAACATATCTTCTTTCTAGAAACCTATTTCTGTTCTTCGGGTGCTGTCATTGCCAAGAATTGCTTGCAGTGCAATGGGGGGTGATCACCGTTGCACATTTGCCATCTACGGTTTGTTATGGAAGCAACCGTCGCTACTGATTTACTTTTCTGAATCTCCTTATGAGCTTATCGGCTATCCCAGATACGTTGGCCTTGATATACCATGATGATAATTTTCTTAAAATTGTCAGCAAACGTTTGCCACTTCAAAAAAACCCCATTGAATTGAGGGATTGTTATTTTTCGCAGAATAACTTTAGTTGCCAAGTTCCCGCTCGATTTTCGCTGGGATGATGTAAGATCGACCTTTGTTAACGTTGATATTTTTCTTTGAATTTTAACGTCTCTTCCTTTAAAATAATATGTGCTATTGCATTGTTCCCCCCCAACGTTGGGTCATCAATATTCTCGAACATATTGAAGTGGATGTCTTCCACTTGTGAGCTCACGTAAACCCATTGGATTACCTATATATCCCTTCCACTGTTTCTGAGGAATTTGTTCATCGTTTTTTTTTTTTTTTTTTTTGATATGTGCCTCGATGTTGTAGATTGTAGCTCTATATTCTTTTCCAAGAGTGCTTCCATCTTCTTTAACTTTTTGCTGTGGAACACTACCGTTCTTCTATCCAATGGAGCCTTTTTCACAGTAGCAATCGCCTTCCTCAAACTCGGCAATTGCTGCTTGTTGTTGCTCTATTATTGTAGGTAGCAATATATTGAATATGTGTTACGCTGGTAACCTTCCTCACAAATTTGATCTTTGTCAAGTTCAAGTCGTGGTCACACAGAATTATTTATTAATGTAAAAGAAAATAGATGTACACAACACTCGAATTGTGTATTCTATATTGGCTTACAAGTTCTCGCAGTCTATCAAGAATATTTATTTTTTCATGCTATTTATACATTTGAGTGTCATTTGAGTTGGCATTTAACGTAAAATAAGCAATAAATTACTTCAGTCAATAACCAAACCAATAGAAGCGTTTCTTTATTTTGGTTTATTAGCCTGCTTGAAAATCATTTAGGCCGGTTATTTATTAAAAAGTAAAAATATTTATGAACAAAAAATCATGTTCTTTTGAACACAAGAGTTCAAGTGCTTCATCATCAGGAAAAGGAGATTTGATAACAACAAAAGAATATCGAGATATATTCCTTGCTAATTTATTAAAACTAGAGAACATAAATCTAAAACTATCTAAGAAACGAAGCTCTAATCTTTTTTATACACTTCTTGCTGCAATTCTTCAGAATTTTCATTACTTGAATCTTCCTCTTCACCTACAACAATCATAAAAAAACAATTGTCGGTTGTATCGTTATCCATATTAAAAAAAATCAAATATTGTAATTTACTTATCTTTGTCTTTAGGGCTGACTCTTATTTCACCACCAAATTCAACTAATTCTTTAAAGATGTGGCGAAGAGAAGTTGTGACAAATATCGGAATAAATTTAAGCCGCTCCACGATATTGTCCCGGTAAGTGACAATGACCTTTAACCCTATCAGTACCTAAAAAATCGCTACATATCCATTATAAAAGCTGTTTTTTCGGATGTTAAAGTATTTATAGGTTGCATCTTGGTGTGGTAAATACCCATTGTTGTCATCTTCTGGTACGTCTTCATGTATGCCCTCATAGTCAGCATTAATAACAAAAGCACTTTTTTCTTTTACTTTGAACTGTCAACTAGATTATCTTCATTATTTGCCAACAAAGCTACTGCTTAAATTTGTATTTAGAACAAAAACTATTATATTTTATTTTATTTTTTATTTCTTACTTCATTTTATTTATTGGAGCCCAAATTCGGTGCATTTACATTTTGGTCCAGTCGAACCGTACGCGAGCCTTGGTAAATATTCTCATTCGTTTTCGTTCCCTTTATATTTTCGCTGCATAATCAACAACGACACAACCATCATCTATAAAAAATAAAAAAACATCAGGTTTTATTCGTGAGATCTCATTTCAAAAAAAAAAAAAAAAAAAAAAACAAGTTCACGTTTGGCCTTAAATCCGTTTTTATATTTGAAAGGCATCATAAAAGCCAATGGAAGATTGGTACAATTTACTGACATAACATACAGTGAACGTCATATGGAGCAATTTTTAGTTGTTGGTGGACTTTGTTCATAAACTCACTTTGCATGGCGGAAATCAGTTGATGACTCGAATAATAAGGTCCGAATTCTGGATGAAAGTCGCTGGTCAAGAAAACTCTTCGTCGCTGTAAAATATGTATTTTACATAAATAAAGTAAAAGGCAGTCAGTTCGGCCTGGCCGTAGCATCCAATTCGAATTTCAAATACGACATCCCAAACAATTTCGGTGGGTACTGTACCTAAACTCGTCAACATACCGAATAAAGGGAGGTACTGATATATGGTGCCTATACAAAGACTTGGACCTGCGTAGACAATTTTCTGTCACAGACTGTAGTTCCCATCACGTACTCCAAATAAGTAATTTGAAACAAATCTGGTGATTAATGACGCTAAGATTGTCAAAATTTCGAATATAGGGAGGTACTGATATATGGGGCCTATACAAATTCCGTGAGTAATGTCGCTAAAATCATTAAAATACCTAGTATAGGAAGGTACCGTTATATGGGGGCTATAAGAATACGTGAATTTGCACAGACAATTTTCTGTCTTAGGCTGTAGTATCCACTACGAACTTCAAATACCAAACTTGAAACAATTCCGGCCAATAATGTCGCTAAAATCATAAAAATACCTAATATCGGGAGGTACCGATGTAGGGGGCTATACGAAGACGTGGACTTGCATAGACAATTTTCTGTCCTACATAGCCCATTTACGAACTTAAATTGCCTACTGGAAAAATAAACATATGTGCAAAATTTTAGCTTTCTATCTTATTTCCTTTGAAAGATAGCGTGATTACAACAGAAAGACGGACATGGCTAAATCGACTAAGAATTTTACGCTGATTAAAAATATATATACTTTGTTGGGTCTGACATGAGTATTTCCAGGAGTTACAAATGGAATGATAAACTTATTATACCCTCCATAGTATGGTGGAGGGTATAAAAACATTAAGTTTCGGCTGGTCCGAATTCGAGCGTGTTTCACTTTAAACTTCATATACCAGTAAGACCGTTTGGCTAATGCAGTTTAACTTATAAAGAAAAAAACATGAGGAGGGTCAGGGCGTTATATTGGACCATACCAAAACGGGAACCTCTATAGATAATTTTATACTTCTAGCATTGTCATCTATCAAATCTTCCAAAATACCAAATTTGAAACAATTATGTGGGTAAATGTGACTAGGATTATCAATACACCGAATGTCGGTGGGTACAGCTATATGTGAGATATAGGAAAATGTCGAACTAAATATTCAATGTTTTGCCACCGGGCTATAACCCATTATGAACTACAAACACAAATTTTTAGAAAAAATCCGTGGAAAAATGTAGCAAAAATCTTCAAAATACCGAATATCAAGAAGTACCGTTATATGGAGACTGTACCAAAACGTTGGCCGATATATCTCATTTTCAATACCAACCATCCTGGACACAATACAAATTTTTCTGCTAAATTTTGGAGCTCAACGTCAAATAATGTGGGCTCAATCGTGATTTCAACAGAAAGACAGTCGGACATCGTGAAATTGAATTTGAATTTTATGCTGATTATGAATATATATACTTTATAAGGTCTACGACGAATATTTAGGGATGTTATAAAGGGAATGACAAAGTTAGTATATCCTTTCCAAGGTGGACGGTATAATTAATAATAATAAACAAATAACAGGTAAAAAAGCAGATAAAATGTAAATGAAAACTGTTATATGGAGACTATACGAAGACGTGGACCTGTTTACGGAATTTTTTGTCATAGGCTTTAGACCTATTACGAACTGCAAATAGCAAATTTAAAACAATTCCGTTGAATAATGTCGCTAAAATCATGAAAATACCGAATATCGGGATGTACCGTTATATAGGGGTTATACGAAGACGTGGACCGGCATAAATTTCTTTCCATAGTTTGTAGTACCCGTTAGGATCTTAACATGTGAAATTTCAAACGATTTCGGTGAAAAATGTAGCTGAAACCATCAAAGAACCGAATATCGGGAACTACCTTTATATGGGGGCTATACGAAGACGTGGAACCTGAACCAACTCCGGTTAATAATGTCGCTAGAATCATCAAAATACCGAATATCGGGATGTAGAGTTATATGGGGGCTATACGAAGACGTGGAACCTACATGACCCATTTACGAACTTAACCTGCCTACGGACAGACAGACAGACAGGCAGAAAGACGGATATCTCTAAATCGACTTAGAATGTTACGCTGATCAAGAATATAAATACACTTTGTTGGTTCTGACACGAGTATTTCGAGGAGTTAGAAACGGAATTACAAAGTTAATATACTATCCATAGTATGGAGGTGGAGGGTATAAAAATACCGAATATAGCCGTTATATTGGGGTCTATACAACGTGAACCTACAATTTTCTGTAATAGGCTGTAGTATTCACTACGAACTTCAAATACCGAATACCAATCAAAATACCGAATATCGGGAGGTAGCGTTATATGGGGGCTATACGAAGACGTGGATCTGCATATACAATTTTCCGTCTTAGGCGGTAGTGCCCATTTCGAACTTCAAATACCAAATTTGAAACAATTCCAGTAAATAATGTCGCTAAAATCATCAAAATACCGAATATCGGGGGGTACCGTTATATGGGGGCTATATGAAAACGTGGACCTACATGGCCCATTTACGGACTTAACCTGCCTACTGGAAAAATAAGCATATGTGCAATATTTTAGCCTTCTATCTCATTTCGTTCGAAAGATAGCGTGATTACAACAGACAGACAAACAGACAGACAGACATACCTAAATCGACTTAGAATTTTACGCTGATCAAGAATATATATACTTTGTTGGGTATTTCGAGGAGTTACAAACGGAAACTTAACCTATATTGGACCCTCCTTTCCAAGGTGGAGGATATAATAAGAAAGTTGCTTTACATCGCACTGCGTACTCCTTTTCTCGTCACTTCATTTTTTTCGGTTCAAAGTAATTATTATTGACTAGCTAAGATAAATATTTATTAGAAGCGAGTTAAAAATACAGTAAGTTCGGCCGGGCCGAACTTTGAATACCCTCCACCAGTTGGAAAAAATTTAGACATTTTCAAAATATGAAATCCGTTAAAAAAATACAGAATACAGCCGTTATATTAGGGTCTATACGACGTGGACCTACATAGGCTTTGTTTGTCATAAGCATTACCATATTCAAATTAGAAACTTGAAATAAACGGTGAATAATGTAGCTAAAATCATCAAAATACCTGGACCTGCATAGACAATTTTCTGTCACAGGCTGTAGGATCCTATTCGAACTTTAAATACGAGATCCCAAACTATTTCGGTGGGTATTGTACCTAAACTCGTCAACATACCGAATATAGGGAGGTACTGATATGGGGCCTATACGAAGACCTGGACCTGCATAGAAAATTTTCTGTCACAGACTGTTGTTCCCATCACGAACTCTAAATACGTGATTTGAGACAATTCCGGTGAATAATGACGCTAAGATCATCAACCAACTTATAGTTAGTTCATGAAGGTGTTATTCTACAACTAACTACACATTGGTTAAAATGTCATCTGTAGATCAACCAGTTGTGGCCACTTAAATGCATACAGATGAAAAAACTGCAACCAACTTCAGACTGCTGTCATTTCAGAGCCACTTGTCCGAAAGCTGTTAAAATTATCCTACTGACAGCTCATTATATTGTTTACAAGCGTACAAAAGCATTTTGGTGAGAATTTTTTCAGAAAAAAAAAGTTATTTGTGATTTTGTGATGGCTGGAAAACCACAAGTGATTATCGTTACAGCAATTCAGCATTTAAATGTGAATAAATCTTTTGTGTCTCGTGCCATCGCTCGTTACCGTGATACTGGTTGCGTAGCCTGACGTCAAGTAAGTGGACGGAAGAAATTCCAAAAGTACAAGAACTTACGCCGCAACAGAAAGAAAATAGACCTAAAACATAATAACAATCGTAGCCAAATTTGCCATATTTTTCACAATATTACACCTTCATATTTAATATTTTTGAAATATTATTACTTATATTCAGAATTTTTGAATTATTTCGTGATTTTGAAATTTGTATACATTTTTTTGGCGTTTTTAGGGGAAAATAGCTTCTTTCCAGATCTTCGTATAGCCCTCATACAACGGTACCTCCCGATATTCGGTATTTTGATGATTTTAGCGATATTATTCGCCGGAATTGTTTCAAATTTGGTATTTGAAGTTCGAAATGGATACTACCGCCTAAGACAGAAAATTGTCTGTAAAGGTCCACGTATTCGTGTAGCCCCCATATAACGATACCTCCCTATATTAGGTATTTTGATGATCTTAGCGTCATTATTC